AAAGCTCCCTCGGCCGTTATTCACCCTACACCCCAGGTGTTCCTCGACCGCTTGCTTTTCGGGATGCGGCTGCACTTCCTGGGCTTATCAATTATTACAATGACAACACACGAAGGGCGTGGGGATCTCATTGGAGCCCCTAGCAACGCCGGCTTTTCTACATAGTTACAGTGTTGATCGAGCTTTTTCAGGTGCTCGGTTACTGCCCGAAGGACATGAAGGCTGACATATGTGTGCATTTGAATCGCAAGGTGTTCAATGAGCATTCATGCTTTCGACTCGCATCTGATGGTTGTCTTCGATCGCTGGCGATGTACCTTGAGGTCAGTTTCTTTAAACAACGGGCTAATATTAGGTTTTCTGTAGATGTGATAACTAGGAATATTTTTAGTCTAATCATGCTGCTCCTGGTGATCTTCTCTATCACACCGGTGAATCTGTCGATGCGCTCTGGTTCGTCGTGAGCGGATCGTTGGAGGTGATTCCAAGACGAGGAAGTAGTGGCGATTCTGGGTTAGTTCAAGAAACCCTCCAGGGATCTTTTTGACAATGACGTTTTCCGTGCACATTGGAACGGACCCTACCAATGCGGTGTGTGATAGTGTCTTCAAAAATAAATAGCTTGGTGCTTACTGAAACCTCGAGTTAGAGCTGATGGCATCAGTAATGGCTGGTGCAATGTTATTGGGATGGGCACGATGATTTTTTGGAAACGGTAGGCGCGAAATGTATGTCTGTGGGGATGCTACCCGCTGCCATGGTGTCGCGAGAATCGAGGGAATTCGCGAGGTAGAGGGAGGTGCGTGTTGGAGGTGAGGGCAGTCACTTGACATACGTGAAAAGCTGGAATTGTGAATTAATTCCATAGCGACTCTCCGTGTCATAGCAGTAGGCACCAGTCCCCACGCACATACATTTCGCGTCTACCGTATTCATGAATCGGCGTGCCCATCCAATTCAGTGCATGTATGTCCATTCCTGAATATTAGCCTTCAGGGATCCTTTATCACGCATCGATCAATGCAATTTCATCCATCAAAACGTTTATTTTGTCAAGTGAATATCAAAGGCACCTGTCGGGTTTAGGCGATCAAAGAAACCCCTTCTGTCGATACTATGACTGGGTCTGCAACCCTAGAAAAGTGACGGCACCCTACGCAGACTCGAACCCCCGAGGCGTAACTAACAACCTGGCCTAGCATTTAGGACTGGCGTGAGGTATGCCCCTCCCCCACCGCCGAAAGTGGTGCGTGGCTGACATAAGGCGTGATTCAGCTGGGTAGATTGCCGTATCAGCTGTTTCCAACGCTAGCAATGGCTGGCATGTCCGAAACAACCTCACTTCGCACATGCATCCTTTCCTAGGCAGCCTCTCCTCGCCGTCTGCAGAGAAAGAAGACGCCATTTTGTCCTGAGACGGCTTTTTCCGTATTTTCTTCAGTGGTGTTCTATTTCGCATCTCGATACTTACTTTCAAACGCTGAATACCCCAGCTCGATCCCGACCCGTGCCTTTGAAAATTTCTCTACGCTGCAGTGACTAGTAAAAAGCTAGCAAAGCTCTATAATCACAACTCAACTAGTCACAAATAGCAAACTACTAAACAATCATAAGCAGAAGCCAAATTAGGCAAAGCACTGCCTATAAATTTGTATACGATTAATAAGTGACTTCGTGAAAAAAGGTTCGGCTGAGTACAAACTGAAGAATGAGCTTGAAAAATTTAGGAAAGGGTGACGTATTTGGCGACGAATTCTGGAAAACAATGGTTCAACGGGTCAATCAGCAGCGAACGTTCGGGCGCTTACTTACACGGATTTGCATATGATCAAAAAGGATAAACTTATGGAGGTACGTGACATGCTACCTAGGATAAAAATCATATATTTTTCGATAACAAGGAAATTAATGCTACCCAATTCAATTCGAAGATCAAAATAATGTATCTAAGCAAAAATATATGAGCAAGATTGTATCAAAAGGAGATCCTAGCGATATATAATAATACGTAGCATTGATACATCGATAATATGTAATGAAAGTGAGTAGGAATGCTTGAGTGGTTCGTTGCTCATTTCTCCTAGGCCAGTAGGTGAGCAAACTAAGTGAAGAGAGTGGCAATTTGTGACAAAATCATTACAGAATAAAAAGTACGTCTTTTGTTGGACACCCATTACTATTATTATTACTGTTATACAAGAATGCTGGGTTGTGAATAAAACTTTCGCCCCAGACGGAACTCGAACCCCCTATAACAGCATTCTTGTGGAACCTTTGCAAGGCGAACTGCAGCAAAACAGAGTTAAGAAACAAAAACAAGTCAGAATTACTGTTATAATTACTGTTACCATTAGTGCTGAAAGTATTAGTGTGACCGAAGGATGTAAGCGACTACGAAAAAACAATAAAAATTTTTTTGAAGATGATGGAATCTGATGGGAACAATCCCAATAGAATATTAACACGTTGACGACACGCCCTTGTGCGCGAACCTACCCACCTTACTTTACAAATTTGCATTAACAGTTACTACATTACCAATAATTTCATTAGTGGTAACGAGAGAACTATTTTTCGTATCCAACAGTAGGAAGGGCCAGTCTTGAAGCATGAAAATGGAGGCACAATTTAGGAAAAACAAGTCTCTTCCGTGTGGGAGTGCGGGACGTATGTGTCCCGCGCTGTCGTCAAAGTGTTAAAGAAACATGAACCGAGTTAATGCACAGTTAAAGGATTACACATTGAAAGTAATTAATGACTTCAATGGCAGTTTGGTGGCAGTGAAAGGCTAATATTCAATTCGTGCTCAATTGCTCCTTACAACTATGAGAAGAACTATCGGTTGAACAATATTGATGATAAATAATGAAAAAACCCATAATTGAATAAATCAGGAGGAAAAGTGTTATTAGTGAAACAATCAAAAACTTTAAGAGTTTTAGTTCCAAAATATTTCAGGTGTTGCATTTCTACAAAGCGTTCGCTAATTCATTTGCCAGAAATCTTGTACTCACCTACAACTTGACGCATCGGTTGAAGTTCCGAAAGGTAATCATGAACTTGCCTCTCCTGTTCTCGTCGATTTTTCATTTTGCAGATTTTCGTGGCTTTTTGAAGCAAATGAGTAGTAATTTTAAAAGATCCGTGAAAATAGCTCCAAATTCATTGCTTAGGTTGTGGACGTGAAACGAGAAAAGGAGCTGGACGCTCGGCGGAAGAACGAAAAGCTCACTCTACCACCAGATCATCCTGTTCGAAAGCTGCTCTTCCGAATGCGAGAACGCCATGGACCACGCATATTTCCCAAGTCCGATGTTTGCCGATATCGAAAAGGTGTTTAACCATTTCCTTCTGAAGCTTTTCATACCTTGATTGCTTGGCAGCTCTGTCGAGAGGATGGCACCATTCGAACAGCACGGTCGTTTTTCGGGTCTTGAGATCGTAGCTGAATACATCACAATGAGAAGAAGGGCCTGCTTGTGGTCAATCATATCACAAGCAGGGCTGAAATAACCCTCTCCATGAGCAACCTTGATAACTCATCCGATAAGTCGTTCGGGAGTCTTACTCACACAGCGCGTTAAGCATGACTTTTGATGGTCTATGAAGTCATAAAGTGTATATGTCAACGAGAATAATAGTAGCCGTTCGCGCTCTCTTCAATTGTTCTTTCGGGCGGGATCTGAGTTCATGGCGCATTCTGAAGCTTTGAGGAATTTCATAAATCTGCAACTATTCTAATTCTTTCACTTTCATAGTCAGGGAATGTATTTTTTGAGTTCAAATGAACTTGACAGGCCTAAATCTCCACCGATATATAGTACGAATCAAATAAAACCATTGAAGGAGCCTTCCCGGTTAATTCTTGCATTCTTTCTCAACTTGGGAGTGTCAGCTGGTCGATTCAGCTAGAAAGGCTACACCTAAAGTTTCACACCGAAGATTCCGGTTTCCAAAGAGAAACAAACTCTTGAAAAGGACAGCTGAAGGTAGGTCAAGCGGCGCCAAAGGCGGGGCATAAAAAGTAAGTGCGCCTTGGGAGGACGGCCAGGTATTATATACGGGCGACCGCCGATCGAGAATCCGGTTTAAGCCTCTTGAAAATAGGGGCAAACGATTGCAAGACTAATGATGCAGTAGAAGTGAGATGTCATTGCAATAAGTCAGAAAGGTCAGAAAGAGTTCCAGTAACAGCACTCCGTGAACCAGTGGAAGCGTTCTCGCATCCAGCATTTGTGACAGATGTCCGGCGGGAATTTGAACGCGTAGCAGTCTTTCCGTTTTTTGTTTACCAAAACAAATGCAATTTTTTGTTCTTTTCGTTCTTATCGTGAACGATGGGTCTCAAGCCAGTGATTTATGGGTGAGATAGAATCATAATTTTCCGGAAGGATTCCTTCAACATTGTAAGTCTTTATTGCCAGCCTTGTCGGTATCTTATCGTTATTCTACCTGTCTACAAAATGCCCGAGGGTGTTGGTGGAATGAACGAAGAACGATCGTCAAATATTTGAGGTCTTAGTCAGTGGTAAAACTTCTTTCTCGCGTGATGTCTTGAATACCATGACCCTATATAGTATAAGAAACCCTTTCTGTACATCGAGCTTCCCCTCCACAAGATCTTGACCTCACAAGTGGAGGTCACCATAACGGAAGGCGTGATGCGTACACGGGAGGCTCCAGCGGCTGATGGGAGGCAAAATCTCGAAGTCTGATTAGACGTGTTGGGTTTGACGTGGCGGTCGCCGCACTTGAAAGATGAGGCGCGATGAGCTGCTTTTAGCATTCTAGGTGATATTCAGCGGTGAATTTAAGAAACAGCTTGTCTAAACTAACTTTATCAAGTGTCCATGGTGGTCAAATCCATAGTCAGCCGAATCATACTTCAAGATATGATCTGTATTACTTGTCACTTCATGTTCAGGGCTTGAAAAAGCACCATTCGGAGATAAATCGGATTTCGTCGGTGCACTCTATGGTCGATGAGACGTCCAATTTGCTCTCGTCAAGCTATCCGGCTCGATCTCCACGAAATGGTCAGAAAAACAAGCGGCCGCCACTTGTTGTGAGTGAACTTAACGAGGGTTTTTTCCAATGTGACAAGGGTAAAGCAGTTACCCAGGATTCTTTCCCAATTCAGAAGCGCCAGACGGTTGACGAGGATGCGCTTTCTCGAACTAGTTGGGGAGGCACAGGAGGCACACAAGGCGAGCAAAAGCTCAAGGACAAGGTGAGTGAAAGGCAATCATTTAATTAATAATTTTTTTCAACTCTCATGCCTCAAAAGCGCCACACTTGGCAGACTTATGAATGAATGAATGAATGAGTGAATGTATGAATGAAAGAATGAATGAATGCCTTTAGAGCTGAGGAGAAGCGACAGACACAAGCTTATCCGTGTAAAGACAGCTACCACTTGCCCAAAATCCCTTCTACCACTCTCCCTGTACTGTCTTCCTTAGCTAAACAAGACAACGGAGTCTCGGAGAAGGGGGGGGGGAGCAATTTATGGATGCAAAAGTTTTGTGATACCCATTTCATTGTGGTCTGTCGTTGTCGCACCGCATCGCATTGGGAGTGGCGACGGCATCGCAACTGGATACCACGATAAGCTGGGTACTGACAAGCTTTGCATACGTACAGTTGAAAAAAAGGCTGTAAAAATCTAGAAACTGAAGGGATAAGAACACATTGAGGAGAACATTCGCGGCAGTTCTCAGAAACTAGTGAACAGGAGGCGAGAGAACCAGTTCTGAAAAAGTTGCTACTAATAATGATGTCTAGTGATACAAATGGCGCCGAGGTTTGCTTACAGGATTGGACTTCGTTAAATAACGTTCGATCGGAGATGCGGTCCAAGTTTGAGGTTATTCACGATCGACTCGGCATGGTTGACCAGATCAACTCACGTCTCCAGAATCTGGAACGACTATTGATTCAAATGGTTCAGAATCAAGGTGGTACGTTACGTTTTCCTGGTGAATCTTTTAGGGCACAACAAGCAAAGACAAAAAACAGTAGTGAAAAACGGACGATGGCTCGGTCTCTACCACTCGTGTTTGCAGCACACCGTTTGCGGCACGGGAAACCAATAGCAAAGCACATTTGCGGCCAATTCGTTCAAGATTCGAGATTGGCTCACCCTCTCCTTTCTTTTTGAAAACTTGCTCTTTAGCTCACAGATGAGTAGCTCATTTGAAGGCAAGTTCGCGCGATAAAAGCTAGGTAAAGATCGTCAGGTAATGAGCCTGAGGTTGGGATTGATTCGAAAGAAAATAGAAGCAAGAGAAACTATTACGCGCTTAGCAACAATCTCCTCTTCCCTAACCACATTCCTCCTTGGACAGAGATATTATATTTATGTTATACGAGTTTCACGAACCTAGCTTCGCTTGCTCCAGTGCCAGTGGCAATGAACTGCAATGAAATCGCTGCCGCGATTGCGCCCACGCTTTTCAAGCAGCGTCACGTGGCAACTGACAGCAGAAGGCGGGGATTGCGGATTAAGGAGTGGATTGCGGATTGGGCGAGCTTCTAGCGCCTTCTTCGTAAAAGTGGGCCCGCACATCTAATGCCATGCTACTTTCTGTCTACCACGCTCTGCGGAGCATGTGAGCTGATGGGTTAATCTCGCAGCGACCTTTACGCTCGATAGATTTACAATAAGGTTTTGGTATGGGCCCGTCGGTGGAGAGTAGGGAAGCTGAACAATGCCCCAGTGAGTATGAAAAAGAAGCAAAGAAATCCGTCAGACAGCGCACAAAATAGGGGACTTCCTCATCTTCGCCCGTTGTCTCCGACTAATAACGACGCTTAGCAGCGAATAAGGGGGTTTTTGCGGGTTTTATGTTAAAGACAATAGACCACCGTCATAACCAGCAAATTCATGTTTAGGTACCGTCGTTCCATGGGGAAATTATGGATACACTCAAAGCGGATAGTCTTATGAAAGATTGATAATCGACGAAACCGCTGTGTGCTGGGGCGAGAAGCTCAGGCCGTGCGGGCTTCAGAAAGGAATGCAAGCTTCAGTACCGCTGCCAGCCTAGCCGGCACCGTCCTTTGGCACAAAACGCCATATTTCGCTTCCTTGGGCCCCTAATCACTGCTTCCACTGGTGCATGTACCTCCACGCTGCACACACACTATCGTAATCTCTCGCTTTAACGAAATGTTTGAGCAGTTGACGCAAAAGCGGGCATGACGCAACACAACAAAATCGGCCTCACAGCAAGGAAACGGCTCTGTGATCGCTTCGGACCTCTCCATCTCTTTAGCCGATCTTAGGTGGATGTCAACGTATGCAAACTCCTGTCCTCACCGGCGGCTGACACGTTCTAGATAGGGTCGATCAGTGGGAGGAGCAGGAGACTTTTCCCTGATGCGATAATTTCAAATTCATTTCCCGTTGGCCAAGGTCGGTTTTAAACCACGCTCTAAAGTTGGTTTCGACTCGTTTCAGCCAGTTTCTGAAATGTCGCGGCATGTTTTTAGTGATGAAATCCGGAAGAATAGTGATGAATTTTCCGTTCAGGTCACACTCCATCTACACTTGCCGGCCGGTTCCTTAATGATTTTGAACGAGACCAGCGGTAGCCATCTTGAAAGTCCTGGCAATTTTGTGGCACGAAGTGTATCATGGAATCAAGATGAGAGCTGGCGGTGAGTTTGATTTCGCAATTTTCTCTATTTCTGAAAAACCAGGGGCGAAGTGGTAGGAAATAATTGACTTCAATCTATCTCAAATTCTTTTCCCTTTACGAGACAACGTACGCGGTACGGGAGGAACGCAGTTCTGCGACCTCGATATTGTCTCGTACAGCTTATGGGCTAGATGGTCACGGAAGGACTAGCCATCACTGTCTCTCCGACCCTTTTCTTGCATTTTTCACCAGTTTGGGAAACGTGTCGTTATCATATTAGATTAGCTGTGTGGTCGACAACTGCGAGAAAAAAAGTTGAATTCAGGCCAGTACCCCCGTTGGAGGAGCTGAAAAACGTCGAATGGAATAGCGAGGACAGTCCATCCGGTGTGCCCGCGATTCACGTCGAGGACGACAGCACGACACGTGCCGTTCACCGTCCACCTGATCGTCGACGGATATAAGACGTCTCGCTTTAGGATTGCTCACACAGTTTCTTCAGAGAGCCCTTTCTCACATTCGATGTTGCCGTTGCGGGTGTACGTATTGCATTCATATTGCGTTCACTTATGTTAGGCTGTAAATTCATATGAATCTCAGGCATATACCACGCATACACGCGATGCGATCCCAGCAGTACATAACACTCCATCTAAAATGGTCAATTATTGCTCATCACTGAGAAGATTTTTTCCTTTCCCCTTTTCTTTGGATAGGTACGACACCAGAGCGGGGTTAACTGATAGTCATAGACAGCCAGGAATCAACGTACCTACACCGCAGCTAATATCATGACTCAAGGTCGTGACGATAAAGGCACAACTTGAAGTTGATGATCTAACGTCGAGCGTCACGGTGACCAAAATATTATAGTTTACATGGTTCTAAAGACCTAGATATGGTTGCTGGGAGGGGCATCGGGGGTCGGCCGATAGGGTGATCTCTAAACGGCTATGCAGGTATCCGTCCGTGCCCGCCTACTGCGTTTGTGGCTACTAATGTGGTTACGGAAACCCTTTGCGATCATTTAGTGTGACACTGCACCCAAAAGTAAAATTAGGGTTGCAAAGTGAACACAGCAAAGCAAAAAGGAGAAGAGACCATTGGAAGCTACAAAAATAAAGGTCTTCTTTACTGAGCAGTGAATAAGACCTTTATTTTCGAAACTTTCAATGCCCTATCGATGAGCCAGTGGTTTGGAGACAGCAAGTCGAATTAGATGGGGTCAACGAGACTACAGAACGGGATGCAGACAAGAAATCATGCAGGAGGTACGAAACGCAAATATCAACGCATTCACTTGATGGGCGTGCATGGATACCTGTAGTGTGCTAATGGTGCCTTTCGTAAACCACTGCGCGTCTTGGGACACGAGAAAGTGCTATTCTCTCTGCAGCTGTGGACCCTGTAACTTCATTAAAGGCAGCGATTACGATAGGTCAGACCTACAGGAGACGTGGTGGTGCTCAATGGTACGCCAGTGGCAAAAAAGCAGAGAAATCCGTCAAGAAAACGCAAAACGGGACCCCCTTTTTTGGCCGTTGGTTTTCACTCATGAACAGGTAACAGCTCAGAAAGCGGACGTATGAACGAGTTCACGCAACGCGTTTGGTGGCACATGCCAAACCACGCTCCAATCGAGTTGCTCCAGTTGTGCCGCTGCTGGCAACGCAGCTCGTCCAAATCACCAACTAAACTAGTGGGCGGATCGCTTTTGGGGGCGGAGTGCTTTCGAAGTCCTGCTCAGCAACCAGCGCACCTTTCGTCGTGAAAGCGCCACACCTCGCTTCCCTGGCAGCCAAGTAACTGATTCGTGTGGTGCATATGCTTCCCCGATGCGCTCCCTCTTTATCGTAATCGCTTCCTTTAATATGATCTTGAACATCGGTCTATGTGAACCCCTAATCTGCTTCCAGTATATACAATGAGCGCAGCACAGTCCACCGATCGGAAATAAATTACAGATCATCCGAATGGATGTGAATCTAGCCCATAATGTATGTACACGCTTTTACCCCTGGCAGCTGAGTACCTATCCAAGGAACGGGCTGACGTTCTGATGCAAGCATCTGTAGAAATGATTCCTTCCACTGAACCTAGTTCATCATATGTGATTATACCAAATGTGTAGACTACACTGAATTGCGCTGTCGCAATTTGGCAAACATATCGATTGATGGATTTTCTTCATGTTATTAATGTGATTACTCTTCCCGAATGTGCATTTTTCGTTCAATTTTGTATGTGTTGATTTTTGATATTGGTTTTGCTCGCCAGTCAGCTACATTTCAACGTTGTTTCACTTACAAATTTTTATCAATACATCTTTACAAATATTCGTTATTGAATAGGTCTGTGTTGGAAAATATCAAATATTTACAAGAAACAAAAAGGAACTGTGAAGGTATTGAAAACGTCTTTAATAGAATAGGTGGACTTAAGCCGTTTGGACAGAGCGAGCACCCGAAGTAAGCGTGAATTATAATGTTCTGCTGTAGTCACGTACAATGCGCGACGCATTGACGCGCTGAAACGTGTGCTCGCCTCTCGTTTTCTCTGCGCTCTCTCAACGAAGAGAGAACGCGTCGAGCAAACTCGCCAACTGTACTGAGCGCCGTTCATGTAGGAGGTGGAGGATGCGGCGTTCGGGCTCAGGCGAACGCTGCGATGCTCCTCCCATTTTTTGGATTGTTGCCCTGGTGAGCAGGGGTAGTCTTATTGTTGGCGAAATTGTGGTAGCCGTTTCTCCAGAACGAGCGCCGTCGTGCGTTCGCGGCATGTTCGTCTGACCGCGCATAGGGACGTTGTCTGCGGGATGCGACTTGTTGCCGCCGGGCGCACCGCGCGCCCCGGCCCATCCGCGCTCGGAGGCTAACCGCGCATTGCGCAGCGCATTGCGCCGTTGGCACGCCCCCTACGGTCGAGGCCAGTAGTCAGTCCTCTGCGTCTGTGACTGGCAGCCGGTGACTGGTCTGTCTTCACAGGGTAACGCGAGGAGGTTGCTCCAGGGCGAGGGGGGAACGTCTCCCTCCGAGCCTCAGGGTGACGGAGCGCCCGTCGCTAGCCGGCCAGCGTCCCTCCCCTGCTCCGCCGTCTGGGAGCAGCCCGGTTTGGTGACCTTTGCTAGGACGCTGTCGGCCGTATCGAGCCC